CTCCATTACATTGAGGTTTTGTTATTTCTGTTCATCTAGATGGGGACAGGGGAAGAGCTAATTTAATACTAATGACATTAAATTCCACATGTAGTAAATTTAACTCCAGCTTGTTATCAGCACAGTTACTAGTCAAAAATATTAAGTGATACAGTTCACTGATTTAGGCACTTATATAGTTCATTCTCCCTTCACTGGCTCACTGCAGAATGAATTCACTTGGAGATATTCAACTCAGAGGGACTCTCAGGATTGTAGAGACTGCAACATTATGAGGTATTATTTTCTGTATTTTCCAGTTGAGAAAACCAAGGTTCAAAGAAATTGAGTGAGTGAAAAGGGATAGTTATTCACCCTTAACCTATTTCCTGGGAATTACTATTACTAAGGTATAAAATGAATTCTATACATAGATTTGATGCCACTTGTCCATAATTAATAAAACATATTTTCTAGTAGGATGATAAATTTGTACTGATATACTTAACCATTTTTACAATTGGTATGTTTCACACAGAACCTTTAACTCCTTAGCATATTCTAGCATACTATCCTAACCTAACCAGCCATAGATTGGCAGTTGTGTGGTGTTTTGTCTTGTTTTAAATTGACGGTTTGACTTGGGGGAAACCCAATTCCATAAGTTGAATGTGATGAAAGTAATAGCTCATCTTTACCATTAACATGTTTTTGGGGGCAATGGGGATGTTTGTTTTTGTTTTTTAGTTTTATATTTCAATTACAGTTTACATTCAGTATTTTGTATTAGTTTCAGGTATATAGCACAATGATTAGACAATCATGTTGAACTTTAAAAATATAACATCTTTATTAAAATATAGTTCACATACCATAAAATTCAACTTTAAAAAAGTCTGCAATTCAGTGGTTTTTAGTTTTTTTACAGAGTTGTGCAACCATCACCACTGGTTAATTCCAGAACATTTTATAACACCAAGAAAGAAATCCCATACACATCAGCAGTCACTCCCCTTTCCCCACTCCAGCCCTTGGCAACCACTAATTTACTTTCAGTCTCTCTGGATTTGCATATTGTGGACATTTCATGATAAAAGGGGATTACACAAGTGGCTTTTGAGTTTGGCTTCTTTCACTTAGCATGTTTTAAAGTTTCATTGATGGTATAGCACAAACCACAATTTCATTTGTATGGCTGAATACTATTCCATTATATGGATATAATCACATTTATTTATGTATTCATTACTTGACGGGCATTTGGTTTGGTTCTACTTTTTGACTATTATAAGTATTGTTGCTTTGAACATTCATGTGTAACTTTTTATGCTGACATGTTTTTAGTTCTTTTGATAGCTTCCTTAGAATGGCATTACTCTGTCACATGTCAGTTCTACACTTCAAGTTATGAGGAACTCCTAACTGTTTTCCAGAGGGGCTTTACCAGTGACCACATGTGAGTGCTGTAATTTCTCTACTTCCTCACCAACACTGTTTTTGTCCATCTTTTTTATTATAGCACCCTAGGATGTGAAGTAGTATCTGTGGTTTTCATGTGCATTTTCTTAAAAACTGATGTTGAATATCTTTTCATGGGCTTATTAGCCATTTGTATATCTTTGGAGAAATTGTTGATTTAGATTCCTTGCCCATTTTTTAATTGTTTTGTCTTTTTCTTGTTGAGTAGTAAGAGTTCTTTACATATTCTCAATACAAGTGTCTTATCAGATATATGATTTGCTAACGTTTTCTCCCATTCTGTGGGTTGTCTTTACACATTCTTGATGGTGTCCTCTGAACCATAAAAATTTTTAGGTTTGCCCTAACCGGTTTGGCTCAGTGGATAGAGCGTCGGCCTGCAGACTGAAGGGTCCCAGGTTCGATTCCGGTCAAGGGCATGTACCTTGGTTGCGGGCACATCCCCAGTAGGGGGCGTGCAGGAGGCAGCTGATTGATGTTTCTCTCTCATCGATGTTTCTAACTCTCTATTCCTCTCCCTTCCTCTCTGTAAAAAATCAATAAA